CTCATCTGAAAAACGGTAGTGTGAAAAACACTGGCGTGTGTGCTAATAGATTTCCTACTGTATTAGGATAAAAATATGAAGCTGTGAAACATTTCAAGTAGTAGTAAGAGGATACCTAAGCCGCCTCGAGACACCTGCATCACCCCCAGGATGCCAGGCAGAAATAAGGTTTTACCATACTTTACTTCTTGTCTCAGAAAGTCAATAGGCAAATCCGCACATCCTATTTCTGCATATTTCTTTCCCCTCTAGAAATATCCCACTACCCTAAGATTGCTGGTTCCCATGCCCATAGGATTTGCTTGACCACATAATTGTTTATCTGAAAACCCTTTTAATTCTTTTGTGGGTTTCAGTGTACATAAATTGGATGATGCCACATTTTGCATGTAGCATCTTACTCAGTTTTGTGAGATTTACCATGTGGAGTGTATGTCACTAAACTCTTTCATAGTATTATATACGAGTAAACCATAGCAAATCGGTTTACCTTGTCTGTGGAAGTAGAGTTAATTACACTTTTATATAAATAAAACCACATATACAGTATGTATCTCGTCCCAGGTTTCCACGCTGCCACGTAAAGGAGTCTCTACGGGAGACACCTAGACAGGGATATGTTGAATACGTACATTTTCAAACTTACTGTGCATTCCCAAGTTTTTCTCCAAGATGCTTATACCAAGTTAATTCTCTAGAAAACAATAACACACACACACAGGGGTGGGGGGAGGGAGGGCGAGCATTCTCCATATTCTTATCAATACTTGGACTATGTATATTTACACATTGCTGCCTATACAAAGGTTTTGATGTGTTAAATAATAATTATAGTTAAATAACATTTTCCTAAGGTCCTCTCTTGTCATATAATTATGGTAATCACATCAATCCCAAATCTTATCAAAAATAACAAAATAAAGGTTGTGGAGGGAGAAAAAAAGTTTACAACGGATTTACTTTCCCTCAAAAAAATATCTTTTATGGCCAAAGCTGGCCCATGACCATACATCAGGCCATAAAAGAGGACTGGGGACATGGCCTCGGCTCTGTATTTATTTTCTTGTGCTCATAATCCAATGTTACTTAAAAAGCAAACTGCCCGATGTTCAAGCCAAAGCAAATACACTGGATTTTGCCAGGGAAAATGCCTGTGGAGAAATGAGTCAATTCATACAAAATTTAAAACTGTCTTTGGTCAGTGACATTTTCATGAAAATTTGTGGGTGGGTAAAAGTTTTGCAAAATTCTTTTTTGCTATTGGATTAAATTCATCCAGGAAAAATAAGCAAAACGTAAGTGGCAACCCACATCGCCTCTAATTCCTCCTTAACACTCCCTAACCCCCCAGCACAACTGCTTTCAATTGTGCAGGAAAATAGGCCGGATGGTTCTGGTCCTCAACAAACCTGGAACCTGGGCCCCTGCTCGTGGAACAGGCTGCTTCTCAGCATAAGCACTCAAGGCCTGAGCTTCCCACATCACTCAGAATACCTTCCAAGTCCCTCCTGGGAAAACACGACTGGGCACGGGGCACCCTTTAGCTCAACAGCCAAGAGACCTCCGAAGGGGAAAGCCTTTGACACGTTCTCCTGGAACCACAACTATGGGAACCTTTAGGAACAGTCTGTATACTTTGATGATTTGATACACTTTATGTTATCCCCCTAGGAACACAGAAGTGGGGGGGAGACAAACTCAAACTCTTACGAGTTGCTCTACATTGAAAATCAGGCACCCCCTCATCTCAGAAGACTTAACAAAACTTAGCTTAGTGACACTTAGGAATGGGCAACTGACTTACCAAGGACAGAGCTTCTCTGAAAGCAAGAAGGTAGAAACAGAGAGATGGGAACCTAGAAACCACTTTAGTTAGCAAACATCAATGAAAGGACATGGATACTTTCAAATACAGCCTTGCTACATTTTGGGTTCTGATTCATTTGAGATCTGCCTCTCCACCTGTTGAGGCTTTTGCTTTCCAAAACTTTGCCAATTTCTATAACTGTCCATTCCATGCAACCAGGACTTAAAGGACAGAAGGGAGTTTGTCTTTCCATAGAGGAGATCAGAACACAATCTGGAGAAAGGTGGGGCTGTTTGGATGAGAACAGGACCCATCCTTTTCTTTCCATAACAGAACCAAATCCTGAACTCAGAATCTTCCGCTGGTTGTGCTCTGAACCAGGTTCCAGGTTAGTCTGCAGCTCTGCAATGCTAGCAATGATTGATAAGGTGCATTCTCCATGGGGCAAAGGTAACGTGGCATGAGAGGAGGATTCCACAGTACCCTCTTCCTGTAAAACAGGCCTTAGCCCTGACACACCCTCCTTTTACCATAATTTTCAGAAGCTCTTTGTGTCCCATAGTCATGGTCACCAATCACATATCGGTCACCATTCAATTTCTTAGTTAAATAATCCCTGTAGGTGAGAACGATGACTAAGTCTGAGTATCATCCATTGAGGAGAAATAGAAATTAGACATACATAAAAGAACAACAGACTGGGCCTCAAAGTTCAAACTATCCCTAGGTTTTGTAGCCACCACAAAAAAACAAAGACCACTTCTCCAAAAGAACATAGTCATTTCACCTGGCACAGTTCAGGCTTTAAGTAAGCTTCCTGCGGATTTCAATGCAATGAAACTCTTCCCTGTCGGAAGCTGTGTGTGCCAGGATCCCGGGAGTTTCTGAAAACTCCCTTTGCAAAAGGCAGGAGAATGCACACTGAAGATGTCCATCCCCTTTCAGCACCATGCCTTCCTGTCCACAGACTGTGATTTGAGACGTCCACCAAAGTCTCCACAGCAAGGCAGCTTACTGCCAGTGGTCTACAGTCTCACATATCAAGCACATGACATAACAACATTAACAGTCTTCAGAAAATATAACTCATGACGTGTACGTTGATATAACAATGGATACCTTCCTGTTAAGAACATATACTCCCAGTGGAGGAATCACAGCATCAGTCACCCCTAAGAACCTTTGCTTTGTCTAAATGGATTTGCACACGTCGTGTGAGTGGTTTGCAATTCTAGTTTTGCTGTGCTATTGGATCAGCCATGCAAGTTGTGTAAATGTTCCACTTATCATTGAGGAGAGGATAGATTACGAGAGCACAGCTACCTCACCCGCCCGTCCTGAACGGCACAGTGAACAGCGGCACAGGCCTGCAAATGCTCACCGCTCAGCTATTCTGTCCCTCGACTATTTCTATTTTTAATATTCATCATGCACTTTAGCAAAAGTCAACTGTGCAAAGTTAAATGTCTTTGAAAACTCTGGGACCAGAGGTGAAAATGGGGAAATCCTTTTGCATAAAAATTAATTTTGAAATGCAAAAGAAACCGTATTTGTTTAATATAATTCTAACTTTAATGTTTATTTCAGTGAAGCCAAACCCGATGAACTATTTTCAGCCGGGGTTAGTCAGAACTAAAAGGTTGGACTGTTTGCCTTCAGAACCTGGGTGTTTCTCCTGCCTGCAGCAGGCCCCTGTGTTCCAAACAGAGTAAGTGGGACTGCCTTCCATCGCTCGTCTCACTCTGGCATTTTCTACACAGAACCCTACTGACAGAGCAAGGTCTGGCCTCCTGGAATGTAATTATTCTTTTCACTCAGAGAACCTGGCACTCTCACAATGCATCAGCTTCAGGTTTTCCTTAAGAAAAAACAAAATCACAACACAGGCATAATGTAATGACAAGTAATGAGATTTCATTCCACCGGAAACCTTACAGCTCTCTGGAAAACACCTACTCCACGGTGAAAGTGCCTCTAACTTCTGCATCCCGCTCTCACCTGCATGGCGTGCTTCTGCACGAATCAGAGCTCGACCTATCTACACTCAATCATCAGCACAGTCCACACGCTTTGTATCATAGCCTGCTGTAGTGATGGCACTGGCTGGGAGAATCACAGTCAAACTCAGTCCTTTCCAATCTGGTTTATATCCTTTGCTTATCGCTGATCTCCAGAACGCTCAATATTGAGGGAGCACACAGTTCTGACTCTGAAGAACTATTCCTGTCCGCCTAGACTAATAGAAAACATATGTTCTCCTCTCTTTTTGCAAGAGTTCCGTGAGCCCTCTCAGACTGTGCTAAAGTTATCTCTGTGATCCTGGGGGTGAAGTCCTGCCTGCAAGGCCTGAGGGTTTCTGTGAGGTGTGAAAGTATAGTGAAACCAATTAAGAAACATATTATTCAAAAACAGTCAGGTTTGCCAAGAAACAGAACCCGAGTTCTAGGATCAGTGTTGGGAAAGAGGAAGGCAGGAGAGAGAGCAAACCCCGTGTACTTCAACACCAAAGGCACACGATCGGCTAAGCTCATGCCTTATGCTTTTCCACAAAATCCTTTCCTCAAAATTACATGAGATCCCATGAGGCCCTGTTCCTGTGGGGTCCCCTTGGTGTTTCCTTGCTGACTGTAAATCATTAATGAGTCTCACAACCCTAGAAGGTACAATGTGCTAGCATGAGGGCGTATGCTGCAACAGTCTCAAGAATCAAATTCCTAAGTGGAGAATTCCTTTCTTAAATGTCAGTCGTGCCCCTAGACACCATGCCTCACCTAAATTTTCAGAGGTTTAAAAATATATATATTTACTTTGGAAAAGAGCAAAAGCTTGCTCGTGGCTCAGAGAATGGTTCCCTGCACTTGAACAGCCATGCCATCAAGAGAATACTGAGTCTGTGTCCCTCCCACACTCCCAGACTAAAGCAGACTGGCCTCCACTACCTTGGTGGCATAGGGCCTGAGCTAGATAGAATGGGAGAGAAACCAGCAGCCACCAGCTATCAAAGAAACCTGCCCCTTGCACCTGCCAGAGGAATGGCAAGAGACCTAATAGGCACCTTGACCACCACACATCCAAATCCCACAGAAACAGAAACTCTTACCTGCCTTCTTGGTCCTGTTTGATTAAACGCATGCATGACCGTAAGCTGGACCTTCAAGAAAGGTGGCCCAGGACCTTGGAAACGCCAACTCACCGTACACTTGTTGGGCTTTTCCCCGGAGTGGACCCTCATGTGGATCAGCAGTTTATATCGTGCGTTGAAAGGCTTGTATCTTCTAGGGCAGCCAGTCCAGAAGCATGTGAAGTCTTCCCCTTTGCGTTGGTCTATGTGGACCTTCTCGATGTGCCTCACCAGTTCCTCCTGCTGGTCATAAAGGGCACTGCAGTCTATCCAACGGCAGCAGTGCTTACCCCCTGAGTCTTCCATCTCTCCATCCTCTTCCAGACCAGCCTGGGCCAGGGACAGCGATTGGGTGTGAGGCAGGAGCTCTGGGTGATGAAGGTGTGGGTGGGCATGGTACGGGGGTGGGGGGCCCTGAGGCGGCGGAAGAGGGAGAGGTGGCGCGGAGGGCAGGTCCAAGGCACTAGTCGTAAACTCCTCTAGGCGCTCTGTTTTGAGCATGTTGGCTGTCTGGCCATCCTGGCCCGGTAGGCCGGGCTGCAACACCATGTTGTTTACAGGTCCAGGCTGCAGGCCACCATGTTCCAGTTGCTGCATGCGTTCGTACTCCAGTGTACCATCCTCTCCGTAGCCCGGCAGCGTATTTCCTCCACTGGCAACCAGCACGCCTTTCTGCCCGCTGGACACTGCACAAGACTGGGGGATGCAGCTGCCACGAACACCCAGGAAATGCCCATAGACCTCTGACTGTGGGGACATGTTGGCTGGGGAGGCTCTTGATCCGTTGATGTAGGCAACCAAGGATGTGGGTGAAGTACGGATGATAGTATTGAAGTCAATCCCGATGCCATCAGACAGTGGAGACAAGGACAAGGCTCTCTTCTTGGAGCGGGTGGAGTGGGACCTGGTTGCTGAGTGCCGAGGACTAGGGTAAGGAGAGTGGCTATTTTCCATGCCAAAAAGGTAGGGTGGCAACGAGTTAGAGACGCTGTTGCCAGACACTGGCGTGCCTGGAGGCAAGCTAAGAAGGTCCCCTAGGTCCATGGCATTCTGGGAGCTGTGGCTGGACGGAAGTGAAGGGAAAGCCCTGTAGCTCTGAGACCACTCTTGCTTCACACTCAAGGCTGACTGACTCTCGGTCAGACTCAAAGTCGTGGACACCAGAGACTCTTGCAAAATAACGGACCTGGGGCAGCAGCCAGAGAGAAGGAAGGAAAAAAAATTTCAGCAAGATGTGGATTGCCTAAGAGCTAAGAGAACACTGTATCAACAATCCCTTAAGTATTTCCCCTAATTACATTCTCCACTAAACACAAATTCTTGGACTATGATAGAATCCCAGGCTTTTAGTTCCAGGTAAATACCATTTTACCAAGCAAACAAGAAAAGCTAATGCTTACTAGAATAATGAAAGCTTTTGTTATAAATAGTACTAGTACTTTAATGAGAATAAATAGTCCTCATTTTATTTCAAAGTAATTTTTTCATACAAAAAGGGGGAAATTGAGGACTAGGGGAAAAAATATAAATGCTTGTTGTGGTAAACCAAATTAGCATTTATTAAGCACCTACTGTGTGCACGATGCTGTAGTAGATTTTGCAGGTCATACACTTCTGAACAGCAATAGTGTTCAATTAAAATCTACTTGGGAAGGTAACATAAACTTATGTTTTTTTCTTTTTTAAAGGAAGTTTTACAAGACAAATCTTGTGTTAGAAACTTACAAATACTGTTACAATTCAGTTTCACTGACACTGTCAAATTAGACAGTTTTAAAAAGGCAATTTACAATGCAAGTACTCATTCATTTCAAATGATACTAGAAAATGTATGAAAATGTAAAAATACAAAAAAAATCATGGGCACAAAGTAAAGTGTACACTTAGCTTGCTGGAAGCACAGAGTTCACTCTTTATCACACACACACAACTAGTCCTTAATAGAACAAAGCTATGATACATAAAGGCGTAATAACTGGAGAACTGCATTTGGGATCACTCCTCAGGCCTTGGGGGGCTAACCACACTTGTTAGATGGGTTTCCCATGAGCTCTTATCCTTGTATCGAAGCAGCTTCAGGCCGAGAACAGGTCATCCATTTGCAGTGGTTCATTTTTGCAATTCCTTCCCTGTCCTTACCCTTTACAAAAAAAGCTAAATATGTCACAATTCATTGTTTGCATATAAAAGTGGTTCATTGTGGTAACTCTAGCCCCTTGAAAATTCATATTGCTTTCCAAGGACATTATTGCCTTTAAAAAAAACCAGTAAAATTAAAGCTATATCCCTGGGACAGAACATTCATCCCCCTCAAAAGGGTCAACATGTAGACACATAAGAAAGGTACCAGATGCCAACCCAGAAGCATCAGCTAGCTGAGAAGTTTGGCTTATTGGCATGCATCTGTGGCTGGCTTTCTAGAATGCTTTATTTAAATAAATTAATCACCCAAACTTCTTATATTAATGTGTTAGTTCTCTAGATGAACCCATTTACTGTCCCCAGCTATTAAATGTCAAGCTGTTGTAAAGGAAGGAGGAAGCTTCAATTCATCTGTCCCCTTCTCAGCTTCACAAAATGGAAACCAGGAACACTATTTTCTGCCAAGCCTGGGATACTGTGAAGAAAGCATCTAGGCTCTGAAAGGCACAGTGTAAGGTAGTAGCTAACACTAGCGACCTGAAGCTGCCGTTGGGTATGGGATGTTTACCAATGACGAACACAGCAGGAACCTGTGTCCAACCACCCTTGACATAGATATGTCTCTTGCTTCACTCACACCCTTACACTTGGGCTGAAGTCCTTCTGCAAGCTCCAAAGCGGCCTCTGAACAGTTTGGATTTTAATTCCCCATGGACACATCTCAATTATTTTCTGAGCATACCTACAGCATGTGGCTCTTCCTACAGAGCTCAGCAGAAAGCTCTGGCGGCTAAGATGTCAAGAGCCTTTTGACCCTATCTCCTGGGAGAGTCAGGAAATACATTTGGGCATTAGATACATCAGTGGAGATGCAATAGACAAAGCAGACACAAATGACTCTGCTTTTCACCCACGTCGAGGAACTATGGGGCGTCAGAACACTCACAGAGTTCATGGTGGTGGCCACTTTAGACCATTTCAGACTTTTAAGCAGTAACTACCAGCCAAAGTAGCTTGTTCAAATGTATGTACTTTGCTGAAGAAATTACATTATTTGGCTCAGAGGCAGCCTAGAGAAACATGGTCATTTTTCCAATCATGAAAGGCAAATCTCATTTCTCTGAAACTATGCTGAACATTGCTTAATTTATAGCACAGCATAACTCTGTGTGGACATGTTGCTTAGCTTCTTCAGCATCTCAGATTTCCATGACAGTTGTCATATATTTTCAGAAAGCAAACTGAATGGTCTACTTAAAAATCAATGGTGTGAACACAGAACTAGCTCATGCCCCTCCCTACCCGACACCTCAGATATGTTACAGGAACAAGACCTCCAACAAATGGCAGTCACTCCCTACGTCTCTCAAGCGCTGTAGGAGACCCAATCGTTCAAAGTCCTACCCTCCAAGAGCTACCTGTAGTAAGTGTCTGCTTTGCAAAGCGTCTCTGCCACCTGCACCACACTTTGAAGCAACTGTGAGGATCTTCCTGAGGAAGTGTCAAGCCCTTTCAATAAAAAGGATGATTTTTTTATCTCCCCAGTACCTCAGAGTGTGAAGTACAAACTGAGCACTCCAACATTTCCTGATGAAACAAGTACATAAGGAAGAGCCAGGCTTGAGGACGCAAGCCTGAGATCCCATCCTGGGATTCCAAAGGCTGAAGCTAGACAATCATGACTTCAAGGCCAACCTAGACTACATAGGAGGATGTTATCTCAAAGAACAGAATCAATAAATAAAATAAAAACAATGATCTCGGTAGCTGACAAACCACTATTTACAAAGCTCACAGAGTATTTTTATATATTAACTGACTAAATACACAGTATGAGAAAAATTAACTAGACTCTTAAAATATTTTCATAAAAGGAAAATGCCTAAAGATCTGTGAGTTTCCTTCTGTGACAGTAAAGAAGTGATGAAGGTCCTTAGCAAAGTACAAATGGGAGTGAGTAACTGGCAGAGACCTGGCTGGCTCGCATTTCCACACCATGTAGCTCATATGTGGTCCACAGTGTTCAGCTTGATTGAAAGACTTGGTAAAACAGGCTTGAAAGCACACAAGCTAGGACTGAATCACAAATTGTCTGTTTTTCTGCGACAGTACGGGAAATGAGCGTGAAGGTTGCCAAGGATTCTAGCCTGTAACCCCTGCTGCTATACACACCAGGCCTGTGGAAGAGAAAGTGACAAAGAACTCAGAAAGCTGTGTCACCACACTGAGAGCAATCTCCAAGTCCATATGTTCATCTGATCCTAAAGACATTATTTCTGGTGACTGGTTTATTTGGAACTGTATGTAAAAGGCAAGATGATAAATCTCAAACCAAATGAAAGCAAAGTGAAAAACTCAGAAACTATCAGGAAAAATAAGCTCTCACGAAGCTGAGAGAGGTGAGGTATGCTGACCACGTTAAGCCATTTTGTTCTAAAGACTTGAAAGAAGTTTTAACTAATAACATGGATTTCCTTGAAGTGATGCTCGTGAGGAAAAACGCAGGAACATATACAAAGTATGTATATAACTAAATCTGTATAATATATAATATATGACATATATGTGTCATAAACCCACAGAATCTGAGAAAGAAAATCAGTCCTAAGCTACCAGAAAATGCCACCTATGTACCCTAGCACAACTTCCATAAGAATTAGTGCAGCTTATAAACACAGAAATGCTTTATAAGATCTCAGAGTGACAGGGAGCCTAGAGTCCGTTCTTGGTCCTCTTCTTGGATTTTCTCTGAGCTTTGTGGTCCTACTATAAACAACAAAAGAAGGCAACTATCACCAGCAATGTGCAATTCAGACTATGAAAAGACAAACTCGGAGTATCTGGATCTACACTGGCATCACTAGGTTAAGTGATGGCTGACCTTTGAAATGACAAGCTATAAAACTGACACTGGGAAAATCAATTAGTCTTTCTAAGTCTTGGGTCCACTATACCTTCCATAGGGATGATGCATGCTAGGACTGTGAATATCCAGCCGTAAGTTCAAATTCACAATGCACATGGACACACTAGCTAGCAATGTATCTACAAAGCCCACAGAAGCAGCATCCCACCGCCTTTACTGATTAGGTCTGCTAGGCTGACATATTTAACAATTGTATGAAGTTGTCATTTTGGCATCCCAGCCTTGTCATTTAGGAGCATACATACAATGGCTTTCACAGCAGGTGTGAGTGATACCTAAATTGACAGTGGCTCCTGACTCTTCAACAGAATACAATATTTGTTTAGCACTGTGGTGGGCTAATGAGAAATGACTGGTAAGTTAATAACAGCAGATACAGAGCATCAAAGCAGGATTCTCACCATCGATTAAAGAGAACACAAATTAAAGATGGGGTGTGTTCTGAGAGCAGCATCCCAGAGGAAAACACATTCAAATCAAGCAAAGAAAGAAAGAAAGAAAGAGAGGGAGAGGGAGGGAGGGAGGGAGGGAGGGAGGATCTCAGAAAAACTTTTCAATGTTATCAATGATGAAGATATATCGCTTAAGATAATTACACAATTATCTCAAATGTGTAAGATGTACAGAAATAACTAAACATATGCTCCTTTCTGAGACCACTGTTGAGCTCACACATGGGTTGGCCTTCTCTGCAGTGCTACCTGAAAATCCCTACTAACAGCCTCAAAGCTGCTGCTAATAGCTATTCGTTTAAATCGGCAAATATTAACTCCTAATCACTAGATATGAATAAAAGATTTGCAGGTTAATCCAATGAAATATTATTTTTAATACTAAAATAAAAGATAGAGTGCAAGCTGTCAAGGACGGAAAATCATGCAATAGTCCTACCCAGTGCCACAGGTGGTGATGCCTGTGAACCGTGATCAGCATGCAAATCGTAACCAACAGCGATCTTAATGGACTGAAGTCCTACTCAACTAGAGGGAAATGATATCCAGCACTGTAAAGCTAGCCAAGAATGCAAGCCTAGCGAGGTCACAGATCCTAGAGGAGAACTGACCCACCGAAGCCACTTTTCCTAAACCAACGTAACTCCTAAGTACATTCTAAGCACTTGTCCTAACACCCACAGGTAGGTGCAGTTTTTACTCTTCATCAAAGAGGCTTCATTTCATAGCAAGTGAACACCATTACAGAATACCACTAGTCAAAATGAAGAGAACACCTACTATGGGGTGTCCAACTGCCACTGACGCATCCATATGACAACCACTATCCCCTCAAGCAAAAGGAGATGAAAGGCTTTAATAGCAGACGAGAAATAACATGTCTTCTAGATATGGCAGGAAAGCTACACTCATGAAATCACAACCAAGTAGCAGCTTGAGCACGACATGAACAAGGCTAACATCAGTAGACGTGCCAGCATGAATGGAGGACACGTCGCAGGGCCACCACCCTACATGAAGAACTACGGACAATTAAAGACTGCTAAGAGAGAGAATTAGTCTCTACGAAGGATGAACCCTCTAAATCCTTATTCAATGCCACGTGGTCAGAATATTCATAAAAGCAACACTAAAGATACTCGGCAGGCTGCACTTAGTAATTATTCGCTTGTATGTATTCAACAATAATATCTAAAAATAAGAAGCCATGAATTTGAAAGAGACAGGTTGGAGAGAGGATAGGAAAGAGAGAAATAATATAATTATATTTTCATTTTTAAAAATCTTAAAAAAAGAAAGAACTAAATACCTAGCAATAAAGGATTGGTAAAAATCCATCTTATTTCTGTACTTGCTTTGTAAAATGGAATTTGCGGTGGAAAGAAACCATGATATGAAGCTGGAGAAGATGTCTTTAAAAAGAGCTAAAACTATATATTTAGGGAAACGTTTAAAAACAAAGCCTGTGTATTATAAAGTCAACTTGATGGCCAGGAAGGACATTGCCTGGGGGCATGTGTTCACACGTCCTTGAAGGGTGTTTATCAGGTTTCCACTCAAGATAACCTCAGAGTAATGGGCAAGCATTTCTCAGACTGAATGGTTCACAGCCTGTTGGCCCCCAGCTACCTGCAGAAGACACTAGTGCAGGAAATGCTCAGCTGGTAAGCTCAGCATCTTCTCTTTAGTGTGAAACTGTATAACGCCTTCAGGTTGCACTGTTGCCCTTAAGCTTCCGTTCACCTGATGAACACACAACAAATGTAACGATCACGTAAAATACGCAGCATTTCCCAACTGCTACAAGTGGGGAACCTTCACTTCACCAAGCTGTTTCTCAACTCCTGTTTCTTTGCCCATCCTGGAAAAAAAAATTTTTTTTTCCCAGAGAATGGCTCACGGAATAGTCAAATCACTTGTCAATGCACCGTCAGGATGTTGTCTTTTAATGATAGAATATTATGCTAAGGAATCAGATGTGCCAGGAAACAGCAAGATAATGACCCCTCTGGCCTTACCATGAAAGGGACTAAGTGAGGCACCTGGCCTGAGCAGCCCGAAGCATCAGTTTCTCCACTAATTATGACTGCCTTCCAGGCATGGGCTGGACTTGCCACAGACAGGAAGCTGAAGGCTTCCAGTGACACCCACCAATGAGCAGTTAATTTTACATGCAGCACTCAGCAGGGCTGAGGAGCCCCTTGAGGCACGATCATCAATGGGAATGTGACAGCACTTGCCATCACTAAAGTCTCAGGTAGAAAACAAGCCTCTATCCCATAAAAAAAAAAAAAACAGAGTATAAATAAATGATCTTGGAGCCATGATTTTAGAGTCTCAACTTTGGAGGCTGGAAGGAGACCCAGATATAGAAGAGAAGGAAAGAAAAAAAGAAGAAATAGGGTCTCAGGACCATAAGGCATCTTAGCTGGTTACTGCTTGCAAAGACGGAGGCAATCAATTCCTTTGAAAGATCCATCACCTCAGAACTGCTACTCACAGGCAAAAAGTCTGCATTGTGTTTTCCCAAGAAACTTCCAAAAGATGAAATAGTACATAAACTTCAAAGAAAAAGACCTTAAATGCTATACTGTAGATCATGATTAAGTCACTCCCCACCACACACACCAACCCTGAAAAAGATAAAATTTTGCCTGGGGAGGAGTGATTTTTTTTCTATTTAACTTTTTTCTATTTAATTTTTCTGGATGGAAAGGACACAAGGTATTACTGCACTTCTTCTGCTACCTAATCAAATATTTAACTAAAGGCTTATGTAAGCATGAAAATATGTCTTCCCAACACACATTAGGACTCATGATTTTTATCACTATTCTGTCCACTAAACTGTTTCTTTATGCACACAGTAGGTATTTACTGCATGTTTGAGTAGATGAGTGGACAGGTGGGTTGACCAACTGACAGCTTGTAAGCCAGCCCCAAGACTGAAATGCACACCCTGAAAACCAGATGAGCACAGAGCATCTCAGCTGGCCACAATATGACTTGCTTTGCAAGGAAGTGACAAATTTACAAACTAGGCTTCAGTTCCTGAGCCCCCTCCCTCGAAATATCTCATGACCAGATAGCAGCTATTAAACCATTCCTCCCGATGAACAGGTCAGGAATAGCAAATACTTGCTTTTTAGATTCATTTTCCTACAAAGCTAAAACTAAAAATGGTGCTTCGGTATGAGTGAGTGGGTGAGTGATTACATTCATGTTCAGGAAGGGAGGGGACAACACTCCTGGGGGATGATTAAACCATAAGGAAAGAGGGGAAAAAAACATAAGTTGAGACCTGGTATCTGAAGGAGGTCTATTCAGGTTGGCTGCATTCACTGCCCTCGGTAAGCTAGGACTGATCTGCTTGCATGCTGTGGAGACCTGGCTTGCTGGAGGTGAAATGGGTCCCAGTCGCTGAACCATCATGGGACTGCTGGTGACCACTAGATTGTTGCAGCTGCCTTTTCCAATGGACTTGCACTGAGGCCCAAAGCCAAGAGCCCCTAAAAACAAATGAATCAGGTTAGCTTTTATGTCCCTTACATCAGCAATCAGTACATACACACATTTATATCAGGGCTCACTTTTAGAGATAGCCCTTGGACCTTCTCTTTTTATAAATACATAATTTTTACACCAGGTTTCATGTAGCCTAGGCTAACTTACCACTTATTATGTAGCCAAAGCTAACCTCCCAAGTGCTGTGTTACAGAGTATCTCTTTAATATTGATTACACCAAAAGCAAATGATTCCAATGCAAAAGCTGTAATGCTACAGCAAAAAGCTTCTGATAATCACCACTCATAAAAAATGAGGTTAAATTTCAATGTGTAGAATTGAGAATCATTTGTTGAAAATGATGTTTAAAGTCAGACTTCATAGTATCCTTAACTGAAGGATGAAGGTGATCAGTAGGAATTATCTTTATCAAATCAGTTTTTTTTCCTTGAGTAGCTAATATTTTGAATTTAGTAATTTAACAGCAAATAAAGTCAATACATCTAGGGGTAGGCATTTAGCTGGACTATCTGACTGTAAAACTGTACAGCTCAAAATCCTCTTTAAATGAGAATTAAGGTCAGGCTATATCCATCCCTTCACGCTCAAGTTTTCCTCTTCATCCCAGTACATTGCCATTGGACATACAACATTTTTTTAAAAACAAAAATTCAAGATGAGTAATCTCTAAAACACTCACTTAGAAAGGTAAATGAGTTTAACCTATTTTTGTTTTCATTGCTTATAATATTCTAATGTTGAAAACTGATACATACTTAAAGGAGAAAGAAAAAAGGCATATTTAATGACACATGAATCTGTGTCATTAAAGTTTGAAGCAAAGAAGAACTGGCTAACGCTGCCGTGACTCATCTATTAAAAATAGCACTAAAAGTTTAGTCATTCCAGACATTCCTTTCTCATGGATGCACTTTTTCACACATGTCTGTCAATTACCTGTTCGAGTCTCAGTGACTTATACTCTGTTCCCATATCTAACAAAAAAATAAGATAAAATTCTCCCTAGGTTATCTGACTTTGTCATGGCTCTACTTGGGAACCAAAGTAAGTAGAATTTGTCACTATAACTTTCTTTAGCTCTAGAAAGCAAAATTTACAACTTTGTTTTTTTTTTTAACCAAATCAAACCATAACAGCCAAAGGCTCTGTTATCTAACATCAATCTTGGTTACATTTCCTTCTAAGAGCCCTAGAGACAGAGCAGACCTGGGAGCTATGGGTGTATCATCATAAATGAAGTCACACCTCAACTATACTAGTGGGGTCACAGCCTGCTAGGTGGCAGGAGCCTTGCTTCACTCCAGCCCTGTGGAGCTAAAATCCAGGTACACATGACTTGCCTAAGGCCACACAGGGAATTAACATCTGCTGAAATTCAGACTCCTTGACGTGTTTCCACAGCACCCTCATGGTTTAGTTTGGTACTTTAGGTGCTCTCTTGAACATTTTTCAAGATCACTGGCCCCTAAAGAAATTTCTTAGACTTTATTCAAATGTACAAGTTCATGTCTCTCTTCCTCATGTAGCAGATTTCGGTATCATCCTCTTGTGTCTTCCCAGACCTGTTGGAAGATACTCCATCTTTATGGTTCATTTGCCAATGGACATCAAGGCTTTGTCTTCACACCAAAAGTGTGAATATGATTTTTTTAGGTAATAATCATAAACTGAATATCTCTGAAAATTCTTAACCATGTACATTTGCATATACTCTCCTTTTTCCATTGAAAAAGGCAAAGTAGTGGTGCATAGCCTAACCCAGGATGTAATAACCTGAGTTACCTCAGCTTCCATTACATAGATGTTTCCATTAAAAGCAGCATCAGGTGCCACGCACTCAGTCAAATAAAATACCATAAACCCATATAATAAATTGTCACTTTATGCCTGTTTCATCCTTAGTAAAACTATTAACATTTAAATGCCTCTAAAACAAAGACGTTAGTCACTCTCTCAGTACACATAAAAATACAACGTACGAACAAAGCATATTAATACCTATTTTGTCAAATCTAAAATCCTGTGTGCATGCATGCGTGTGTATGACAAATATAAACAACCAGATAAATTTCTGTATGGTGTCATTACTTCAGAGGTATGATGAAAATATGTATTACCCTAGGATTAGCAACTGCCAGATGCTTTGCTTTAACCTTTTCTCACAATCGTATCTGTCTAGTGAGCACCTCTCTGTTTTCAAGGTTTCAACCCAAAGAGCTTAGCCCTCCTTCCATCCCACTGTCTGGGCAGATCCTAGTGAATTGTCCTGTCAGACTGCAGCAAGCGAATCTATTACATTCCCACTATCCTTTCATTTTTGTTCTTCTATTCGTATTAGAAATGAAGCCCTTGTTTAAAGTATCTCTGCTTCCTTAGGACACAACTGCTCTAAAACTGTAAAGCCACGACAATTAAAAGTGGTTACAACGAATATTAAATATTATCCAACTATTTCTATAGAAGCCTTCCTAACTGTCTTTTATGAAACACAGGACCATTTAAAAAAAATCCAAACTGAGTCAGTCTTCTGATGCTTCTCCACAGTGCAGCTGACTAAGCTGAATGGAAGGTGACGCTGGTGAGAAGAACAACTATACATCTGTTCTTCTGGTCCAGAACGTTGTGCTGACCAAGTCTTCCCCGAATCTCTAGCCCAGACTCTTACATCCACACTGTTTTGTAGTTCTGTAATCAAGACACACCAATCTTTCCCTGCCCAGTTTCCTCATCAGTGTGTACCATTCTGCTCCCCTACTCCCAAACACATGGACCAATTTAAACATCCTCTAGCCACAGAAAAGTGACGGCTTGTGGTGCTGACGAGTGATTTTCTCAGAAACTTGCAATATGTATATGCAGCCATGAGAATGTTCTAAAAAAATGACACCAACTATCTCACAAATGGGAGTAAACAGTAAGGTACTAAGAGTCACTATTAACAAAGCACTGAAGTCTAAAATTTTTGCAGAATACCAAACATAATAATCAGAAGCAAGCTACTCCAGAGCAGGAGTGTGACCCCTGTGGGAAGCGTGTCTGGGATCAGGGCTCTCTGTGTGAGCTGGGCAAATTACTGAATATTTGTAGTCAGAGTTCCTATCTGACCGTTGACCAAACAGAAAATCATCGATGCTGCCTCATTATGGCTTTGCACCTAGCATGGACATATGAAGGACTCAGCAACATGGCAGGCACGATGGATGGCAGCAGCCACTGTCACAGACGGCAGTGCTGTGTCTGTCCTTGCTCCTCTGTCCTACTTTATTAAAGAAGAAAACTTCTTCATAGTTCTTTGCACAAAACAAGATAGTAAACGATGTTTAACTCTCTGCCTAATTCCAATGTTCTTTCTGTTTTGAGCCTAGAGCCAATTTTTTTTTTAAACCAGGTGTCATCACAGATAAAAATTTGCAACTGGCCAAGTTTGAATGTTCCCTGGCTTGTTGTTCAGTAAAAACAACCATACAGCTTTTCTGACTACCAGATGTGCCAACTACTTGGGCACTGGTATTCTTTTTGAAATATCGCTTATTTTTAGAGACAACATGGTGTGTGTTTAAAAATGTGTTTACTGCTCAAATAAAGATTGGAGAGGATGGCATTCTGAGTACTACACAGGTTCCAGCCAAGATCACTGTGTGCTAGTGGATAGACATAAGCAGTTAGGAAATGCAACCTATTACTGGTCTTAAGTACAACCTAATCAACCTTGGCTTCCAGGTTGCATCTTTCCTAGCTGCTTATGTCTATGCAGTGGTTCTCTTAAAACTCACACTGATACCGAGGATAACAGAAATGTACTACAGATGAGAGGGCTGATCTAACATGATGAAAGCTTTGCTGTTCTTAATCAGTAATCAGCTGGCACTTACAGAAAGCTAACCATGAGCCAGGCATCAATGCAGACAGCGGTGAAAAGATGGGCAAAGTTCCTCACTGAGGACACTGCCTGGTTCTTTTTATAAAATAGGTAATTCCTGCCTCTAAGTGGATCATGTGATAGCTTTTATCAGGTGTGAGTCACCATCCTCTGCACCTGTGCTGTTGTGCCTGATCCCCCGTCTCTATGCATTTCCCTGAGAAGACTGCTCAAGGAGAAATCCAAACTTAGGTGGTAGGCTGCCAAGTGTGTCTCCTTGTTCCTGTTTTGATCCTTGTTCCTGTTTTTATTCCTGTTCCTGTTTGTATTCCTGTTTTGTGGGGAGTTTAAAAGGGAGCTATGCAGTTGAAAATATAGCATTTGGTTCTCTACCAGATGACTCCTTGTCTTTCTTTCTCTCACCCTCAGCCCTCCATCGATCCAAGGAACTCAGTCAGCTATGCTGGCGTAGCTGACAATCAGGCAAAAAAAAATGATTAGGAAAGATCAGCTTGTAAATGGTTCATCCCTATGCACACACATATTAGTATTGGATAAATTCACATCCTGCCCCCTATCCTAATTGGCTATGAGGTACTAGGCAGAGTCCTTAGTATGTCACTGCCCTAGTAACTTCTTCAAAAGATATAAAGAGACATGTTACCTAAAGCATGGGATTGTTCTAATGACAACTGATTAATATATCACCACATTTATAATAAAACACCAATAATACACACCACATTTAAGCATCTGGGTTCTCTATGCAACATCTTACTCTGAGACATTAAAGACCTAAATAAAAGATTATAGATATATGAAAATAATCCCAATTTTCTCATTTTTTTCACCTAACACATGAATTGAAGATTTTGTTCATATCAATTTTAAGACATTAAGAATAAGTCATAGATTTTGATATTTTAATCCGTTAATGTATAGTCATAAAAATTCAAGGCATTCAGCAAGGGTGCAATACTAGTGAAGAAAATACTATGCTCACATATTACCAAAAATACATGTAGAGCTTTCTAATCCACGATCATGTCATATAAAGAAAGATTCTGAGCCACACTCCAGGGGTTCTCAGGAATAGTTTAGTAAATCATTGGATACCAGAGCAC